ACTGCACACCATAATGTCATCGACAGTGTTGCCCACAACTTCATGTTGCCCAACCATGCAATAGCGTAGGCTCCCAACCTAATTGGCAAGCTTCCATCACATAGGGGTTGTTTAGGATAATCTAAATAAGTGTACTTTTTGTCTTTTTACGAAAAGATGTGCAGAAAAGTAGAGAGGTAATGTGATGGAAAAAAGATAAAAAGATGGATTATATAGGAGATGCCAAACCACCCCTTAGGTGTCGTTTGGGAAGTGGGTTGGCTTTTTAGCTTTTTTGGCTTTTTTTGTGAGAGAAGAGTGTAATGATTATGGGTTGGATGTGATGTTTGGTTTTTTATGACTAAAATAGCCTATTTTGTCTTTTGTGGCTAAAATAGCCAAAAAAATCCCAAATAGCTCTTCCCAAATGGAGCCTAGGGTCCTTGTGGCGCCCATATCGAATAGCCACGTGCCCCTCCTTTACCCCGCACATGATTGAGGATAGGTTGCATGCCCATAACATAGTCTTCGTGCACGCTTGACATGCTATAGTCCACAAAAGGCCATTGTACACCCAAGAAGTTGAACTTGCATGTTGCACGAGTAACGTAAAGTTGGTCTGTAGCCCACAAGGAGCATTGCATATTCCCACAAGCTTAGCACAAAGGGTCTCACATGAGGGTAAAGCTTCATGTCTTTCAAATGTTCCCACGAGTTGCAGCGTTCCTACCAAACTGCTAGCTTTAGGCCACAAGATCCCCACGACCATGACTGAACCAAAGCACATGTCCGTGAGTTGGAACACAAGGCTTTGGTGGAGCCTCGATAACCTATTCAGTCTAAAACAACACTCCAAGATGCTACAATATATGGCATAACAAGTGTGTGTCACAAACCTTGTGCCTAGGAGGTGCACACTGTGTTGGCACTCATGCCATTTGATGACACTGTTCATAGGGCTCCCAAACATGGAGACCTAAGACACCCCCTCTGAGGGCCAAAGGCCCGCCCCTAAGTTGCCTTTAGTTTGCCCACTTTGGGTGGGGAGGCAGGTAAAAGCACACCTTACCCCTTATAATAGTATTTTGAGCCATTTGCTAACTAACATGAAAAAACATCGGCCATGTTTGACAAGTCATCATAACGATTTTTCATTAATTCTACAAATTATGAAAGATTACAATCTTTAATTATGGAAAACTACATATCTTCACAAATTTCTAGTAAAAATATCATGTCAAAACTCCAATGTTTGACCCCCCAAAACCTTATGCCAAAAGTTTAGCCAAATTATCCCACCAGGTTGCATGACGTGCACCAACATGCAAGCTTGGGAAGGCAGGCGCTGAGCGTTCTATTAGGCATGCTACTTGACATGCATGTGTTGGACTACTTGGGGACATTCTCCAAGCCAAAATGAGGTGTCAAACCACTAACTTGGAATCCTGATTGCATACTCATAAGCACTCCCAAAGGCCTTGACTTGAGCACTCCCAAGGTCACCACACATGCAAAGGTCACAAAGTTGGTCTTGAAAAATCAACTTGTGACCTCTGTTATCAAAATCTTACGATTCGCGATTCGATTCGTAATTTTTGCAAAATCGATATGAATCTATGGGTGAATCTATTTTGGAAGTGAATCTCTAGTGATATCGCACGATTCACAATCGATTCATGATTCGATTCACTTGTTACGATTCATGCAATTTTTGAAATTATTGCGTCCGACATATTTTCGACATTTTTCTCTCCATTTTTTTAGTGAAAATGACATAATATAACTTCTAATAGTATTTAATACCAAGATAACCAACATATATACAAGATTTATTGTTATTTTAGTGACCATGGAGTTTTTAATAAAATCCAATCAGATTCAGTCAAATCCAACATATTTTTAACCTTTCTTCTTATTTTTTGCCCCTAAAAAACATAATATATCTTCTACAGACGTTTAAGATTAAAGTTACACTATGAATTATCTATTGCTATTTAATTAAATTGAATATAATTGAATATTACATGTATGAGTTCAGTTATACCTTTTAAAATGTTTTAGACTTTAAAATAAAAGATTCTAAATAATTCTTTCTTATTATTTGCTCACTATTACTTAGAAAAGTATATATGCTTATTATCCAAATATCAATATCATTGTTAATTATTTTTACCTTGAAAATTGATAATTTGTCTATTTGGTTATTATCTTTATTAAGAATGGTTGATAAGAAATATCTAAAAAAGAAAAAAGGTAAAATAGTGATCTTACATAGCAACATTTGTTAACTTCTTACCTATTAAACTACATGATTATCATTCAAAATAACATTTTCATTGATTAAAGTCTAATTATTTAATATTCATAAGATATATTTAACATCTAAATGTGTAGATATATAATTTTAAGTAATTTAAAAAAAGTAACCGAATCTTTACGATTCACGATTTGATTCGATTCGATTTGATTCGATTCGCGATTTGGTATGAGGCCATTTCGATTCACGATACGAATCCAGATTTGACAACTATGCTTGTGACAACTGGCCATGAGGTAAGGCCAACAAGACCACTGTATTGGGCCCTCAAATTTTAACAAAATTTAGGACTTAGGCCTTGTTTGTCATGTACTAAAAAAGTCAAAAAGTCAAAGGTTACTATCCTATTTAAGTCACATCATCTTATTTAAGTCACATCACCTCTCTACCACATCACTTCAAACCCAACCCAAACTCAACCCATATTTCATAAAAAGTCAAAAAGTACACTTAGAACATCCCAAACCAAGCCTAATTTAGCTCTTATAATAAATAAAAACAATCAATCAAAACAATTCCTAGAAATTGCAAAAGAAGCCAAAATAAAAATGGTGAAATCTTAAATTATCCAAACAAAATACCACTCCGTCGCATCTTTGTAGCTCAATCAAATCAACGGAGCCAAACAACCTCTCCCATTTGACAAAAAACAAGCCTCAACATTACATTTATACCTCTCTCATGGCAAGTTCTCTCTACATCATAACAATAATAAAAATCTTCGTTATTATTCTCTATCACTCTCTCAATTATACTAAAAAGTCAAACTTATTACAACCATATTTATCTTTTTATCTCTATGCTATACGGTCAAAAAGGGGCGTCTCTCACCAAATAAAAGTTCATCACAAGTCCCTCCCTCTCTTGTTCATAGCAAAACAAAGTGTTATAACTCTCTTTCTTTCTCTCTCTCATGAAATAAAATAAAATAAAAAGTAACATGTACTCCTGTTTGTCATTATTATACATATCAAAAGGTGAATTTATACCGTCTCTTATCAAGGAGATTAAAAATCTCACCTCATCTAAGAAGCACGGACACTTCTAAGAAGGTGACATATTCGTGTCATGTCGTGTCGGACACCGATACTCTTTGGACACTTCCTCGACACGTGTCTGACACTTTTCAAAACCTATCTTATTTTTTAATTTTTTTTAAAAACCCTAACACTCTTTAGACAATTGGATAATACACGTGTCTATCGCTTAAACACACGTTTATCGATTAGACACAGGTGAAACTAATTATAAGTTTGAACAAAACAACTTAAGATACAATAATAAAACAAAAACCATATAAATTTATAAGAATTAGTGTCATATTACATTTTTTATTATCTTTGAATAATATATTTATATAAATAGCATATAATAAATATTTAAAATTATATATTTTATGCGTGTCCTGCACATGTCGTGTCTTGCATTTTTTAAAAATTGGCATGCCAACATGTCCGTTCCGTGTCGTGTCATGTGTTCATACTTCTTAGCGTCTCATTGTACCCCTCTCCCACTTCTTCCTTTGAGGTGAAAATTTTCATGTTGATTACAAAAAGTAATTATCCTTCTTCACTTGGTTATCAAAATTGCAGTAGGTACATTTATTTCATTTTTCAATATATTGTGTTTTATTTTCCACAATAGTCTTACATGATTTAATTTATTAATTATAAAAATTGTTTTGTTTGTGAAGGTTAGAAATATTGGGTGATTATAGAAAAAAAAATTATAATTATAATAAATAAAATTGTTTTGATTGTGAATATACAAGTTTTCATTAAAAACTATAGTATCCAAAAATTAAACATTACAAGGTAAAAAATTATAAAAGGCCCAATTAAATTATTTGTCAAGAGCCTCAAATAGACTTGAGCCAGCTCTGTGTTTTAAATTGAATTTTGCTAAATTACATAGCAACAAGAACATATATATCTTTTGAATTTTATAATGCTATGTAAGTAAATTTTTCTATTGATATATATATATATATATATGCAAGCAATATTTGTGTGTGGGTATTAATAAATTTATAAAAAATAAAAAATAAATAAAAAAGTTATAACGGTTATTTTATTACATAATGGGCCAATTTAAGAGTTAAGTTTAGGACCCAAATACAATTTTTCACCTATAAAAAAACACTTTTACATAATTTTTATACAGTTTTTACATATTTTGATACACTTTTTTTTTGCATTTTCCAACATTAACAACAGTCTTTCTATAGACCAACAGCTAAATCACTACCAAAATTCCTGAAATTTTCCAACATTAACAACAGCCTTTTTAGCACATTCCTTATTCAAATTCCATAAACCAACAGCAGCCAAATCACTACCAAATTTTCTAAACATTAACAACAGCCTTTTTAGCATTTTCCTTATACAAATTCCAATAGAGCAGCAAAATCACTACCAAAAATTTCTGAAATTTTCCAACATTAACAACAGCCTTTTTAGCACATTCCTTATTCAAATTCCATAAACCAAGAACAGCTAAATCACTACCAAATTTTCTGAACATTAACAACAGCCTTGTTAGCATTTTCCTTATTCAAATTCCAATAGAGCAGCAAAATCACTACCAAAATTCCTGTAATTTTCCAACATTAACTACAGCCTTTTTAGCATTTTCCTCATTCAATTCAAATTCCATACATAGACCAACAACAACAACAGCTAAATCATCATCAGTGCCAAATTACCTGAATTTCTAGGCGAATCTTGGAGAAGTCATAGAATCGCTTCCCAGGCAAGTGCCGAAACTCGCCCCACTCGCGGCCATCATCACCGGAATCCGAGCGATTCTCCAACTGCAAAACCAGCGGCCTCCGAGTGCATATATCGCAACCACGGGGAAGGAAGTCGCGGCCGATGAGGGCCTCGAGCACGCTGGACTTGCCGCTGCTCTGGCTGCCGATCACCGCCACCTGAGGCAACTCAACCTTCGAAAGCTCGCTGCCAGCGCCGATGGGAGCGAAGATGTCTTGAAGCTTGTTGATGATGGGGATTACGGAGGAGCCCATTGAAGATGGCTTGGAGGATGTGGATAAAGAGGGAGAGAGATCGTCAATGGAGTTCACTTGTCGTCCCATTGTGAAATTCGTAGAGAGAGAGAGAGAGAGTGTTGTTTGTGAGATTGTTGGACAAGGCGGTAAGACCTCAGTCTTTTTCGTCGCTCGACGTTCAAAATACAATTGACGGGAGCAGAGAGATTTATTTGTTTGGTTGCTACTCCTGCGACTTAAGTCGCACGCTAAACAAGCGAGAGCCTGAAATATCTGCCTTTTTTTAAGAAAATTTCCTTTTACCCTCAAACTTTGCTTTGATGATAATTTCCTTTTACCCTCAAACTTTGCTTTGATGATCAATTAGTAAGTTGATCCTTGTAACGTATGTGGGTTTAAAAGAAAACTTCTAGGACTAAATGGAATAACTTTTCTCCAAATAGAATTTATGAGTAATTTCTCCAAAGTTTAATTTATTTAAAAACCCCTTGTAATGCATGTGTTATTTTTTTTAAAAAAAAAAAATTATTTGATGATATAATATGTATTATAAAATTTAATTTTAATTTTAATTTTAAATTAAAATTAAAATATAATTTTAATTATTTATTTTGATAATATCATCGCTATCGTTTTATAAAGTTACTAGCGTATGCCCGTAACTAAAAGTACGGTATAAATAATATTAGGATTATAATATAATTGTCATCTTAATAATACTTAAATTTATTTTTTAATTTGATAAATTCACAAATTTATTATAAAATTTTAGAGTTCTCATAAAACTCCTCACGAAAATTCGTTTTTGCTTATACAGTATATAGCTAGATAAATAGATCTGCCTGACATACATACAATTTCCACGGACATACATATAATAATGCTTTTGCTTATATAATTATATAGAAATTGTATGTATGCCCATAAGGACCCAGTGTATTACGAGCATATATACATTGTATGAAAATATGTGTAAAATATATTGAAAAAAAAGGAGAAAATAAAAAAAATAAACAAATAGACAGAAAAATAAAAATGAGAGAAAATTAAAAAAATAAAAGAAAAGAGGGAGGAATGTGTGATCATGGGATCCTGGAAAGATGGGTGAGAAAAGGAAAAAGTAAGAGAGAGAAGTGAGAAAGTAAAAAATGTACATGTAGGATATTTTTTGAAAAATTTATCTAAGCCATTTTTTTATAATTTGAATAGAACTGAGCCGTCCAAATGTCCTAGTAGAACAAATTCAAAAATCATCCCACTTTATTATATAGATGTTGAAGATTCATATGAGGTCTAAATTTATGAAATCTATCAAATATTCAATATATTTAAAAACAATAATTAATTGTTCAAATTTATTTAATTTGTGGATGATAAAATTCATTAATTTAATCTCCACTACACAGTAAAATCTGACTCATAATTCTGGGATCGCAGACTTTTTCATAAAATATGAATAAAAATAAGTAAATAAAAATGAGAAAAAAAAACAAATAGAGAGAAAAATAAAAATGGGAGAAAATAAAAAAAATAAAAAGAAAAGAGAGATGAAGGTGGGATCATGGGATTATAGAAGAATTAGTGAGAAAAAGAAAAAGTAAGAGAGAGAAGCAGAAAAATAGAAAATATACAGGTAAGATATTTTTTGAAAAATATATCTCGGCCGTTGTTTTATAATTTGAATAGATCTGAACTGTCCAAATGTCCTAGTAAGACAAATGTTTCTAGGACAAATTCAAAAATATCCTACTTTGTTATATAGATTACTTGAATACTTACATATATTAATATTAATTTTATTTAAATTATTTGTGTATTTTAATAATTTTAGTTTTATCATATTATAAAAATATAATTATCATATAATAATTTTGTATGACATATATTAAATTAAAAAATAATAAAATAAATACTCATTTTGATATTAAAAATAATAATTAAATTAGAAGAACAATTAATAACATAAAATTAAAAATAATTTTGTAGACATCTTATTTTGGACGACCTTAAGATTTGGTCGCATTCTTTTGAACACTCAATGATAAAAATTATAATATGATATATTATGAATTTCTCGGTAAAAAGTCAAATTTAAACTTTAACCCCAACTTTTACCCATTTTAACAAAATTATTTTAGATCCATTTTACACTTCCTTTTCTTTTCTTAGCTCCGTTTTACACTTCTTTTTCTTTTCTTTTCTTTTCTTTTCTTATTTTTATTCTTATTCTTGTTATTATTATTATTATTATTATTATTTTACTTCCTTTTCTTATTCTTTTCTTATTCTTATTCTTATTCTTGTTATTACTTGTTATTAGCTCCGTTTTATCCTTTTCTTACTTCTGTATATATTTTCTTATTTTTATTCTTATTCTTATTCTTGTTATTATTATTATTATTATTATTATTATTATTTTACTTCCTTTTCTTATTCTTATTCTTATTCTTGTTATTACTTGTTATTAGCTCCGTTTTATCCTTTTCTTACTTCTGTATATATGCTATCAGGAGAGCAAGTGAGGGAGATTTGGATTGGAACCAAAAAGACAAGAAAAAAAAACACTTGTATTGAAAAGAAAAAGAGAAAGAAAAAGGCCCTCCCTCTCTCCCTTGTTTAAAAAGAAAAGAACTTTCAAACTCTTTTTTTCCTCTCCATTCGTTTCACTAGCCAATCACTGATATATTATCCAAGATTTCACTAAAACTAAAATTTGAAACTTTTTGTGGAGATTCCAAAACACATTCCACAACTTTGAGGGTGATCTCTACCACATCACTTCAAACCCAACCCAAACCCAACCCATATTTCCGAAATGTGAATTTTCACAAATTTTCGTTTAATTTAAAAATGTGATAACTTTTTTAAACATTTATGTTACAACTTTTCATAATTATGTTTATCGCTTTAAAAAGGTTGTACTGCACCACTCACATATCTGTTGTAATTTATTACTTTATATAAACTGTTGTAATTTATCACTTAAAATGGTCAGTGTTTTACCACCTACATAAATAGTTGTAATATACTGCTTTAAAAACCACCTAAATTGTTAAAGATGTGACCCACCAAATGAATAGTGACTGGATGTGAATAGTAACCTACGACGATGAATAGTAATGAATAAAAAAGTGCCTGGTAAGATGAATGATAACCAAGGAGGGTGAATAGTAGCTACTGCAGTGAATAGTATTGTCGGCGGTGAATAGTGCCTCTAGATGAATAGTGCTCCCGCAAAAATGAGTTTTCTCGGAAGAAACAGAGCAATCTCCCAACAACAAACAGAACCATTTATGTCGATCGATCTCCGAGGCATCTAATTTGAGAGATCTATAAGATTTTATTTATGTTGTAATAATTTCTCTCCCTCAGTCTTTATTCAACTATTGTAATAATTCTCCGTCCCCGTTTCTTTCTAACCCATTCATTTTATTGCCATTCATATATGTAAGTAAGCATCATGTTTTATTGCTATCCTCTAGAGATGTACTCAACTTTACCATTTAATAAAAGTACTTATGTTTCTGTTTCTCCATTTTCTCTTGTGCATACTGATGTTTGGGAACTCTCTCCTGTTCTCACTAAAAGGGATTCTACATACTATGTGTCTTTTGTTGATTATGGGGATTACGAAGGAGCCGAATGAGGATGGCTTGGAGGATGTAGATAACAAGGGGGAGAGATCGTCAATGGAGTTCACTTGTCGTCCCATTGTGAAATTCGTAGAGAGAGAGAGTGTTGTTTGTGAGATTGTTGGACAAGGCGGTAAGAGCTCAGTCTTTTTCGTCGCTTGGCATTCAAAATACAATTGACGGGAACAAGAGCCAGAGAGAGATTTATTTGTTTGGTGGCTACTCCTACGACTTCAGTCGCACGCTAACACTATGTTGGAGCTTAGGAGAAAAAAAAAAAAAATTGAAATGATCACTTAGGTTAGAAGCGGGAAAAAAAAATGATTGTGATTTCCATTCTTTTAATTTGGATAAGAAATAAAAGAAAAAATGATTGTAATTTCTCTCTTTCTTATTTAGTTAAATTTCATAAGAGAAAAAAAAAATTGTTTTATGTTATATTACCAAAATAACCTTACGGACAAGGGTATCAATCATTTTATTTTTTTTATTTTTACATGGACAAAATTCAGTGTTTTTGGTTTGAGTTTTTTGGATTAAGTTTTTTGATTTTCATATTTTTTTGTTTTTAGTGAATAGTTTTAAAATTTTAAACATTTTTTTTACGTTTTTAGATGCACCTTACTTAGATGTATCTAAAAAGTAAAAAAATTGTGAAAAAATATTTTAAAAAATTAAAAAATACAAAAATGTATTAAATTCTCGTATTTTTTTTTTTTTTGTATTTTTTGTATATAGTGAATTTTTAAAAGATTTTTTTCACATTTTTTTTTATTTTTTAGGTATATTTATGTTAGCTATGTCTAAAAAGTAAAAAAAAAAAATTGCTTAAAATATTTAAAAAATTCAGTAAAAACAAAAAAGTGTAGAAAATAAGAAAGTAGAATTTTTTAAAAAGTATTTTTTGAAAAACCTAACTAAGCAAGCTGTTGGTATTATGAAAATATAAAAATCTGTTGGTTTCTTTTCTCTCACAATCTCTCCATTTTGGGAAGATTGAAAATGAGGGTTATAAAAGAAATGAGTCTCTCTCTGTTTCTCTCAATTTCTCCCTATTTCTCTCCACTTAAGTTATCCAAACAAGTAGGAGAAATACATATCTCACCATTTCTTTTCTTTTCTCTCCAAATCACTCAATCCAAACATAGTGTAAACAAACGAGAGGCTGAAATATCTGAGCAAGGATATCCTCTCCTTGGCTCCCTACTTAGTGGGCTATTGGGCTTACTTAATTTAAACTATTCATATTTTAGAATTTATTGAGTATATCATATCTATAAAAAATCAAGTTGATCGAACTAAAAATCGTTTATTAAAAAAAATTTAATAGACAGTTTTATTTTTTAATAAAACTTTTAGTTTGATAATCCAAACACGTGGTTTCTAATATTCAATCGACTTGATTTTTTATAAATATGATATACTTGACAAATCCTAAAATGTAAACGGTTTGTATTATCAAAATTGAGCCCAAAAGTGAGCCCAATGGCCCACCAAGTAAGGAGCTAAGGAGAGAATCCAATGAGAGGATCCTTGCTTGAAATATCTGGCATTTTTTTTCCAAAAAATTTCCTTTTACCCTCAAACTTTGTTTTGATGATCAACGGGTAGTTGACCCTTGTAATGTACATATTTTTTTAAAAATAAAAATTA